GGGAGCATGAGACATCAATCATACCGGGACTGGAGGGCATCCAGCAGGAGTTTCCGTTCAGGCGGGCACTGTCTGGGCTGTGATTACTGGAGGACGAGGAGGCCGAGAGTCGCGTGCTGGGGATTGTGCCATCTTCCATTCCCAGTCCTCTCACGCACACTGGAGAAAGCAACGCTTGGGTAATAACATAGAGCATGTGTGCACAAAATACCAATACCAGTAAGTCTGAGAACACAAATCTGAGGTACAGAGTGGAAACGTCCTGAATTGAAATCTGAACACAATTTAGAAAGCACGTGATTTTTAGAGTCCCCTTATTTACCAAAGCAAGGGCAATTGCTGATTTATTCCAGGTAAAATTGTGCTTTTTAGTTAAAGCTACCAATTAGCTAAGGTCCCACAATTAAGGAGATCTGTGCAGGACAGGCAAATCTTTTTTATGACACCCTTTTCAACACTGGAATTAGTTTTCAGAATAGGGTACGCTCACCATTTTATCAAAAGCAAATTCAGACACGTTTATTCTACTGCATTTTGTATCACATATTCAACATTTTATTGCACAAAGAGCACATTAGCCCTTCGTTAGAAACTCACCATTTTGCTCACAGGTGTACACCACTTCTAGGTATTTCGATACTTCAGGGCAGGGGTCATTCTCAGCGTAGGCATACAGAATGCAAAAATTGCGATTGTCACAATATTTCCGGATCAAAGGCAAAGTGCCTTCCACCATGCACGTTTCTAGGGAAGGTAAATTTGAGGAGTTATGATACTGTATATAATATTCCAAAAAGATTCACAAAAACATGAGTCCCGTAAATGAACACTCCAGTTGGTTTCAGGTAAGCTGTGTTATGTTTTTATGGTTGTCCTCTTGTCTTTTTGACATGGCCAGTTTGAAGAAAATATCTGAAGTCAGGGTGTGTCTGTGCAAAAACAGTGCACTTATTTAATGCAAGGAAAGCTAGACCTGTAATCCATGCCCCTCCGTGCAGTATGGAGTGGTATGAAGTCATAGATTTTGTCTCAAGCTTGTTCCCCATTCTCACGGGTGGTCACTGTTTGGGTTATCATTAAAAATCTGCATTTTGAGCAATGAAAAACAGAAGATGCACGTGTGAATGTTACTTGCTCTTGTGGGACATAGTAGTTCTTGACTTTGGAGTTACTGGTGGTCCATCCAGTTAGAACATCACTTGTGTGCTCATAGCTCCTCTTTGTGCCCTGAGCTACTGGGATAGGCCCTAGCTGGGACGACCCTCACCAGGGTATTTCTGACAAAGAGTGGATGTTTGGAACTCTGGGGCTTTACATCTAGTCAGTTGCAGTGCTTTATTTGCAAAAGTATTGCTGAGCCTTTTTTGTTTTTTTTAGAACATTTTGGTGTTCCCTAAGCATGATCGCATGGCTTGCACTTAAAATAATATTTCTGTACCACCCCGTCTAACCCTAACCCTTCATTTTTGCATCCTTTGTTATGTAACACCAAGCACTTTCACTTGAAATGCATAGAAATATACAGGACAAAGTGTCAGATGAGCTGCACATTTCTTTCGCTTATACTGGTAGGTGAAAACAAAGCACTTTAATCATTATATACATAGCAGAAATGGAGGGTATCTTTTTTTCTTATTCCATACTTGATGCTCCTGAACCCAAGGGACAGATCTTATCACTTTTCCTTCCAAACATAGCAGCCTGGACACTGATAACACTGTCGTGTGGACATGTGATTCCGGCAATGGTGCCCTCACAGATGTGGACAGTTGTGTATCCTGGAAGAGTTAGAGATAGTTTTTTTATAGTCAATACATCTCATACAACATTACCTATATGAAAACCTATAAAAAGCCCTCAGATTCTTCCGGTATTGAATTTTAGTACTGTATTTTTGCTTGGCCGTTATAGTATGCTAAAATCCCACTGCTTCCACCACAAAATCAACCAGAAAAGTATCTTCTGAAAGACAAAGTTAGCCATTGAAACTCATACAGTACCTTCATGTGGGTGTTCTTCAGGAGGCATATTCCCTGAAAAATCAAGAAGGAATGATATTAAATTAGTGTACAGAAATCACAGTGTTACAATACAATACTCATTTTTTTGTGTGTTTACTAAATGAAGGGGGGTAGGATTATCATAGGATCCGAAGTCCCAAACAGTTTCAGACAGTACAAGACTTACAGTACACTCATAATACTGATGTGCTGCTCAATATTCCTGAACATTTATTAACCAAGCGAATAGTTCATTAGTGTTACTGATTTAAGAGTCAATATTTTCAAGTTTCTTATAAAATGTCACATTATCACTTTTTTTCCAGAAAGTGTCCAAGGGAGTGGTATGGGGACTGGTTTTTGTCTCAAGCCTGCTGTCTTGTTGATGTTCCCCGTTTACACATGCGGTCTCTGGGTGTGTTGCGAGTGACACAAGTCTAAGTTGCCTCCCTTTGAAAGTTTCAGCTCATGATGGAAAAAAAAACAGCAACACTGAACAAAAACACCAAAAGGAAAAAAGTAACTTCACCTCGCCGTTTACAAATATATCCCCTCAAATGCTGGCAGTTGTCATCATTCCAGTACCCATCTCTTATTCGAATGTCAAGACAGTCCTCTCCGTAGTAGTCATCTGGATTACCTGAGCACCCACAATACGATCAATAAACCTTACATTCATTTAGAATTTATGAATGCATTTTCTTAAACATTAAGTTTAGCTATTATTCTGGAATTGTACAGAATACTACACATTAAGAGCATTGAAGGTATTACCATTCTACTAAATGGTAGGATAGAAGTCTTTGTTAAAAGGTATTGTGAGAACAGAAAATAATTTTAAAGGGAGCATGTAACTTGGAGCTGCATAATATTCCTAGATCTTAAAAGTTTGTGTTAAACTTTGTCTTTGATTCCACAGAGGCTAGAATTCACTGGCACAATAATTCTGCCTTTCATTTGGAACCTGATGTAACTACTCAGACAATTAACGAGCACTCTGCTATACCATGGTCTTGATCACAATGCAGTATGGCAGTGTGAAGAACTTTGGTCTGCTCAGCGTCTTACCTGCGTACCAATTGATGTAGCGAAAGGGGGAGTTGTCAGCCCATTCCCAGCCCCCCTCAACCACAGAATCGTGGCCACCCATCCACAAGTAAGCCCCAGTTGGGACCGATGCAATCTGATCTACAGACCAAAAAATGTTTTTTTTTTAAACATCCTTTAATTGACGAGGAAAATGCACTGCAGAACAAGATACAATGCTGGTTACTCTTGCCTATCATACCCCGAGACTCTTCGCGATCTGACTACTCTGTACTACTAATTCTAAGCAACAAAAAGAAAAGTGTTATGATGCTGCTCTTAAGGCAAAACTTCTGCTTAACGTTCCCTGGGCGTATATGCTTTGTCAGCTTCAAAGTCCCCTCATCTTTGTCTATGTGGTTTTTGTTATCTGTCTAGAGCAAATTTAAATTAGTGTAACTTCCATTTCATAGAGGAGTACTTTCTTATTTAGCTTGCAATAGGATTAGGAAGAGAGAGCAGATTCTGTTACCGATCTGCTTACCACAAACATTGCCTTTTTGATTAAAAGGGCATCTGTTGCTTTCAACTAATGGATCTTTTCTTTTTGGGTCCCAGTTGCACCTGTTATGTATTAAAACAGGCTGCCTCTTTGCTGAGTCATGTTCTAAATCTCCTTTAAGTACAGTAGTTCTCCATCCCAATGTATAAAAGCTGCTAGTGTTGATGGCAGATAATTAAGAACATAAAGAGGTTACCTGCCAGAAAGATATGAATCCTCTTGTGTTTGCCCTTTTGATTTAAGACAATATTAAGTTACATTTTAATATTTATCATAAAACCGTTTCTTTATATATTATTATATTATCTTCAGATGGTATAATTATAAACTGCAGAAATTTGCTATTTATATCGCACTAGCTAGGAATTAATTTATGTTACAGTCATTTTCATTTATTTCTTCTTTTAGTATGTAACTCATTTCAGATTTTAGGCCATTTTATTATATGTAAAAGAAATGTAATTTTGTCATAATCCCCATAATAAAAATGAAAAAACAAAGACAGGGAGGGTACCAGTAACAGGCCATTATGTCAATTGAGCATGTTTGAAAATTGATATCTAAATGACCTGCATCCAGCAGAAGTCAAGATTTCGGCTTCAACAATGTGACTGGCTAGCTTGTTCCACACACCCACAACCCTTTGGGTAAAGAAATAGATAATACTTTATTAATCCCGTAGGAAAATTGATGAGATGAAACATACTGGCCCGTACGGGGATCGAACCCACAACCTTGGCATTATTAGTATCACGCTCTAACCAACTGAGCTAACCGGCCTTAATACATCCCTCTACTCACAATTACAAATGAATTTCCTCATTAAATTAAATAAATTGTGTCTCATTAATTTTTTCAAACATGTTCCAGAGCGGTCTGTGTGTACTAAATATCAGCACAATAGAAGTTTAGAACTTTTTATTTGTACCTACAAAGTCTGTTTGCACTCTTTGCAATTTATGATTGTTTAAGTTTTTCAGTACCATTTACACTTTCAGAAATGTTACTGTCTAAATATTTGCAGGTTGATTTTTGGATAGTAGTGAATTAAGCAGAGAAGTAAATGTAATGTTATTAACTAGGACATGAACTTTATTAAGGGACATTTGTAATGTTTGTGGTAATAAAACCATCAGACCTTTTAACGTTTTTCCTTTTTAGGATCCGACCAGTCAATTTTACAATTATTAACAATTCACACTCCAAAATAGTTTGGGAAACCGCGTCTGACTTCACGTGGAGACAGTTTTACACAAGGCTGAAAGCTTTGATTGTTAACAGGAATTTTTAGCACCACTCAAGAAACACCAAAGAGGAGAACAACAGCATTGAAAAGAAGTGCTCTGTCTTGCAAAGAAAATGGTTAACAACTTTGTCGTGAAAAACGTTCTTTCACTAAAAAAAAAACCGTTAGTTTTGTTTTTAGAGGGCGTTTGAAATACAGATATGTTACCAAATACAGGATCCGAAAGTAACATATTAAAGACGCCCAACCCGAGGGCAGGCAGACGTGGAGAGAAATTCAAACCGAAACCAATTTGGGATTTTTCCTGCGTTTTACATTTTCTCCCAGGCGGTGGCTACGTGAGATGGTACAGTACCTTGGATGAATGCCTGCTCATAGGGCTCTGTGATGCTGACCAGGTCACCCCTCTGGTTCAGGCAGTCGCTTCGAGCGTCAGCCCAGGTCTTCATCGAAAGCGACTGGAACAGGTAACAGAACTCATTGAACGGGTTGGACACCCACGAGCCGCACTTTTCAGTCCACCCTGGATAAGAGACACATAGAGACGTAAAAAAAAATATGAGCAGTGAAAAGTATATTTACAACGCAGCTTATTTGTTTCATTAGGTGTCGCTTGGAAGCTGGTAGTTACCTGGGCCATTTGTCGGAGGGGTTGGATGTGGTCCTTGACCTTTCCCTAAAATAACAATTTAAAGTGAAATCGATCTGTACACAGACATCGGCTGAGGATGCTCTCAGTTACCTCAATTTTTGATAGATCACTGACTAAGCTTGGAGGGCAAAAAACAAAACAAAACAAACATTGAATACTTCCGTAAAGCTCGAAGGTAAAATAAAAGTGCAGGGAAAATAACTTTAATTTTAACAGATAAAATCGGTAATCGTTAGATCATCGTCCGTTAAAACACATGATTGCATTTAAACACCAGAAATCAGAACTGTCGCTCCATCACCTATGAAAGGAAAGATTCTAAAAAAAAGACTCTTTCAAAAGCAGATATATATTTTTTTAAATCTGTCACCCCATTTTCCTGTTTCATTTGTATGTTATTTTTTTAAACCGGGGAAAATATATTTTAAAGTATTATCGCAGAATCTCCGCATGCAATACGCAGCATCTACATATCAATAGAAAGACTTTTGCGTAAGTGCCTGACCTGAGCCAGACAAAAATTGTCCTGACCTTTTTTGCATATAAATGAATAGCCAGAAGCACAGTTTAGGTCGTTCATGTATCCGGGGGTAAAAGCTTCAGGGCCTAGCATTTGCCCGCAGTGCTCATTATTATGCCAGTTATCGGGCTGCCCAGGGCCCCATGGAATAAAAGTCTGGAGAAAAAAAAGTTCGAATTTCAGTTCCTGTACATGTACAGTTTATTCCAAAGCTTAAAATGCTCATTCCATGATAACTAGCACCGTTTTCCTCTGTGCCTGTTAAATCACCGAATTAAATAAATATTTCTTATGACGAGCAAACCAGATGATCTACAATGTTATTTATAATATGAATATGATCATAATGATGATGATGATGATGATTATTATTATTGTTGTTGTTGTAGCGCCACGCAGGGCGCTTTAGCCATGCGAATGCATTTACACAACTGGACAGTGAGGTGTGACACACAATCACATACTGTACGGATCCAGTGCGATAGGTATCAGGCTCCGCTTACCGCTGGAGTGCCGTCTGACCACACAAAATGATTGTCGCTGTTGAGATTGTTGAGGCCCACCCACGAGGAGCTCGACATGTGCGCTTGAAGAACAAGTCAACGTTTTCAGTGTTTAACACACGGATTCCATCTTGAAACCGATATACTTGCACTCAGGGTTATTCAGAGCAAAAGGTTTGAGAGGCAAGTTTTTTAAAAAGAAATTCACAGCTGGGTTTTTCTTTGTAGACAGAAGTCAAACGCAGAGAAATATACAGTGTTGACCAACACAAAATGTAAGTTTCTATACTTTGGGAAACTAAGAGACTCAGCTGAGCACTTTCCTAATTAATACTGCAATAATTTTAATTGCCTAACATTTTCGAGGCTAGACAAGGGTCAAAGAGCCTTAAACTTCATATTAGGAATGAATATTCCATCATCCATTTTGAATGTCATGTTTACTTGCCTTCACACATGTTAATGACTTTTGGATTTTGTCCAAAAGGTCATGTAAAAATTATGTCTGTTTTTTTTACCATTGTGTGCATTAAAAATATTCTTGAAGTTTTATATTGTAACTAGGACATAATCTAGATAAAGGGTTTATGGTATGTGTGAAGAGCATGTAGTTTTTCTGAATGCTAAGAAATTGTGTTAATTACCTCTTGGGGGTTGAACCATCTAAAGAGACATCTAATCCTGCCTTTTGCAAAGTTACAGCCACCAGTATTGGGGAAGTTACTGATATAAAACAAGTCATTACTATTAAAAGTGTAAGGGATTACGTTTTTAAAATTCATTAAAAGTTGGAAGAGGTTTTATAATGTTTTACTTAGTAACTATGCACAAAACTACTAAAGGCTTCTTAAAATTATTTTCCCCCATTGGCTTACTAATTATTAAAAAGTAATCCCACTAGTAGTTTGTAACTTTAATGGAATACTTTTTACACGTAACTTTCCCCAAGACAATCACTGACAGCTCTATCACTTCAGGTCTTTTTCAGAGTTTGTGAAAAATAACTCAGTCAGCAGGCTGGTCTGTCTCTCCTAAGGAAGCATACAGCGCTGCCAACTGTAATAATGAATTACAACATGTTTTCACTGAAGTAAGAAGAAACTGACAGCAAACAAAATACTTGGAGAAGCACAAGAGCAATAAGCTTGATCAAAAAGCAGAACATTTTTGTGTTAAAAAGAGATTAATCACATAAAGCTACAGTTTATACATCTTCAGGAAGATGCACTCACCAGTCAGAAAGCTCAACGTTTCTTGATTTTGGAAGCTGGCCAAATCTCCATTCTCATCCCTGCAGTGCTTTTGAGCTTCTCCCCAGTTCTTGACAAAATCACTTTCAAAGTGGTAACATGTCTCATTGAACAGAACATACCCTGTGTCACAGAACGACCCTAAATCAAAAGGAAATAAAAAAAACCTATAAGTCTAGCTTGAAATGAAGTAACCAGTACAAACCAAAAGGCAAACAACAAAAGAGAATCTGAGAGAAAGTTTCAGGAAAATAGGATAATAGGATGGATTGCACTTCTTTAAGACTAAACAGCACAGTAACAGTTCGGACTGACCAGCAGGTATTCACTGCGGGGACACTGTACTGTAAAAAGGTGCCGTCCTTTGGATGAGACATAAAACCAAGGTCCTGATGCTCTGTGGTCATTAAAAATCTCAGGGCGTTTCTTGAAAAGAGTAGGGCTGTAACCCCAGTGTTCTGGCCAAATCATGGCCTCCTAATTATGAGTCATGGCCTCCTAATAATCCCCATCACTGAACTGGCTTCATCACTCTATTCTCTTTCCCACTGAGAGTTGGTGTGTGGGGAGTGTACTGGCGCAGTATGGCTGCCATCACATCATCCAGGTAAGAGCTGGTCCCCATTACCTGTAAAGCACTTTATTATTACTATCATTTTCATTATCCACTGAAACCACCCTACCTGGGGCTGAGGTGGGTCTGATGTTATGGCCTCCAGCCATTTTGCAGACATATCCCAAGTTCCTGAAGCAGCTCGTTGTTTCCCACTTTCCTTCAACATCTCCTGCATGGAAGAAAAGTGGAAAATAATGTTTGTGGCCAGAACTCGAAAAATCTTTTGCAGCTGAGGCATCACCCTCATCGACCCCCCCCCATTTTGGGAAAACAATGTGTAGTTTGGAAAGATCAACATTTTTTCGAAACATTTTTTTTTAAATATTTAAGACGTCAGCTGTGTTTGTTGCTATGTGATGTTTGAAAAGTTGTAGAAGGCTCACTACGCTTGAAACGAAAGAGATAGGCGTTTTGTCTGAGCAAAATGTTTGCTTGAAAAAGATTTGTGTAAAGAAAAGGTAGCAGCCATTCATGTCTTGGCTGTGGTAAGCCATATTATTGCTTGTTAAAATATCACTATTCATTTCTTCCACTAGAGGGCAGAGGCGAGAGACACAACCATGGTCTAACATAGACTAGTTTTAGGTCCTATTACATAAACACTAGCTGGAAAACCATGAGTATCCTCTTTCTCAGCCTGGAACCACCCTAACTTTTGGTAATGACATTCACCTAATACAAGTCAGCTGTTGCCATATTGGATAAAGGTCCCTTTTAGATCTTAGTCATGCACTCTGACCCTCCTGAAAGAGCTGCTGACATAATATCACATACAGATTACTGTCCATCTGCTCCGCTTCACTTAACTCCCCCTGAATCTGTTCACATCTTTCCTTTGCTGGGCAGACATCTATCAGAAAAATCGACCACCCTAGAGACACATCAAGGTCCCGAGTCATACACTGATTCCAAGCTTCCTTCATTTCTTTTCCAAAATTGTTGCTCATTTCATAGTGCTGTACAGGGTAAAGAGTGCTGTGAATTGCTGTCATTTATTTTCTTTTCACCATTGAACTTGTGGGCTTTTTATGTCCAGTATATAAATCCATAAATCCTGCATCCTGAAACCAGTGCCTTTGTATTCTTACCGGTGTAAATCTGCCCACAGTCCCACATGTTTGCAGTATTGTGTGGATGAGATGGAGCCCAGTTCTGGAAGGTGACTGGTTTTTTGTCCTCCCATTGGAAAGTGCCATCTGTCTCCTTATCTAATGTTAAGGAAGAACAAGAAATTTGTCTGGAAAAGTCAATGTGACATTTGAAGTTCTTCCCTAGAAAACAACTGTTTTTGACATTTTGCAGGGAATGAGACAACTCTCTAAAGAATATATTAATGTTGACACCGTGTAATGTAGAAATTGTATGATATTCCTTAATGAAGTCAATTAAGGCAACCCGTGTTAAAAGCAAAGTGAAATGTAGTGAGTATAGTTGTAACGAACAGTTCTTTCCGGACCCTATGCGGACGACACAATCCGAAGAAGTGGGAAACACTGGGGAAACGTCATGCAGGGATACGGGGCTGAAAACAGGGGGGCGTGTCCAAAGTGCGCTGGTGCACTGGGGAGGTGTGGCCGAGGCGAACAATCCAAAAACAATCCATAGAGGGAATCCAAAACACAAGAATAAGTCCATTGCCAGGTGATCCATCCAAACAAGGAATTAAAACCAGGAACCGGCGGACAGGGAACAGAGATTAAAACCTTAACGGGACCAGGCGCTTCCAGGTCCCGGACTCGCACAGAAACCAGGTGCAGAGCCAGGCTGAACGTCAGCGCCTGGCTTTTAAGGTGGGCTGGGAAAAGGGGTCAGGTGCACAGAATTAAGTCTAAAGTGAAAGGGCTGGAGCACCCTTAAGGAGGAGGGACTATAATCGTGACAATGGTAAATAACTATGCTAGCTATAGCTAAGCATGGCCAAGCAAGATTAGTGCACATGAGCTAGCACATTCATAGTAAAATTACTGGAAGAGAAAGCTCTGTGCACAGTGACAGCACTAAATGTCCACACAGGATAATGTGCTTTAGACTGAGCTTTGGAATTACATAAGTACCAATGAATGTGTCTTTATCCTATTATAAAACATAAAGTAAGCATATTACCGCACAGGTCATGTTAAAATAAAGCACACGTCCATAAATGACACTGATTCTCATGCTGTCCCCGAGTCAACGGATTTCGTTTCATAGTTTCAAATCTTAAGTTATGGGAGATGTACAAAACAGCTATTGTCCTGTAGCACAATACAGTAAACCTGGAAGCTTTAAACCACATATTACTGTAAGTAAAAGTTGCTGGCAAAGAAGTTAAAGAAATGAATCTTTCAATGTATGCCCTGACTCACTGCAGACTGTTGCTGTAAAAGAGAAAAGACAGCCATCCTTTATAACCATTCAGTTCATATTAGATTCTGTCTCCCGTACCAGAGAGATAGAACTATTATTTTCCGACCAGTGTTTTTTTTACTTCACCTAAAAAAAAAAAACGGTTTTACACAGATTGCACCAGAAAACCTTTCAAGTTTACAATTGCTGTTTCAAACCGACATACCCGATAATCCGATCCAAATGTCGGGCACCTCCACCTGTTGCAGATCTGGCAGAAAACCGTTGATATAAAACTGCTCCTGTTCACTGTCAGAAGAAAAGAAACAGAACAACGTAAAATAGAGAGACTTCAAAGAACTGAAAAACTGTCATATTGATTGGGTCAAAGTAAATCTATCTAATATAAGTGGACAGCTCGAGTTTTTTGGTTTTCTCTCTAGATGAATAGGGATGAGGAGTAATTTTGGAACAAAATGGGTGACCTTCCATGCTCAGCTGCTTAATGATCTGTCAAGTGTGAAATGAGTAATGTGCTGTTTGAGGGACGTTGAACATAAAATGCTTTATTATTGATGTCATTTTTAAATATGCAATAATTATCAATGATATTACTTGTTTAATTTAATTTGTTTCACTATAAAAGAGTCGATTAAGTTTTGTTTGAAAACCAGAAGCAAGATTTTTATTAAAAAGTAAAACCCATAAATCTTACTGTTTTAGAATATCCATTATATTGGTAATGATAGCGATAATTCCATCACTGTTGTCATATAACATTAAAATATCAACATTGTGCTATTGATAACTTTTCAAAATAATGTATAATATTTGGAAAAGAACTGAAGTGAAAAGATTGATTTTGCTCTACAAAATCTGCACCAATTGGAAACGGAGGATTCTGAAAGTCATCGAAATTGTACATATGAGCAGTATTTACAGTATAGACATACAATAATATATCAGGTGGGGAGCCGCGTCAGCATGCGTAGGCTGCAAAGGAACAAGTAAAGGTTTATTCCATACTGAAAAAAAAAGAAAGGAAACACAACGTTTCGGCCGTGAAGCCTTCTTCAGGTGTCAATAGCTAAGGATATAATATCACACAGGATATAATAGCACTAAGGACATAATATACTTAGCCAAGCTAAGGATATAATATCATACCTGAAGAAGGCTCCACGGCCGAAATGTTGTGTTTTCTTTCTTCTCTTTTCAGCATGGAATAAACCTATTACTTGTTCCTTTACAATAATATATTATCAATATCAAGATCAGCCACAGACTACAGTATTGCAGTGGCCATCAGGAGTTATTTCAATTCAAGCTCTTCCTTTGATCCAACACTTTTTGGTTGATCACCCTTAGATGATTCTAAGGGTTTTGTAAGACACGATGAGCATGAGTTTTTCCAGATTGAGTTTTACCTTTTGATTGTTAGCAAAAGAGCTCCCAGGTTAAAGCACTTTCTCTGAGCTTCATACCAGGTGGTCAGAAGATTGGGATTGCTCACAAACCAGTAGCAGTTACCAGAGAAACTGTTCCATCCAGGGGGACAAATTGCTGTCAGAAAAGCAGAAGCAAAAATCAGCAAAGGTTAATCTGTTAAGTAATCACCTGAATCCCTGTTCATTGTCTTACTCTTTGTTTTACAGATCAAAATAATCAATGCCTACAGTATCAAATCATTGAAAGAAAAATGAACAGGTTTATTGGATCTGATATTGTATAAATAGATTTTATAGCTTTGATAGATATAGCTTTTATAGATATGAATCATGTTCTTTAGAAATTAAATAAATGCTGCACATTAAGAATAAATAATTCACCAAACCGGTAGAGTCTGGTTTCTCTATGTCTGCAATAGGCAGGGAACCAGCATATACTGAAAGACAGCTTGGTCCATATTGTGTCAGAGCTTTCTTCCTCCAGGATGTAAATGTACTGATTGAGATTTCTAACCATGGGTTCTGCAGTGATCACATCTGGACTCTCACTTGTTCTCATTCCTAGCTGCCAAAGACACCAGCGTCTTCTGTTGTTTTCCATCTGTGCTCCTAATTGCTATTTGGCCCCTTAAATTGAACTACCTACACGTTTAAGCCTTTATTGTCTTTTTCTCCTCTCAGTTTCAAGAGTATTTCCAAAAAATAAGACAGCAAAAAACTCTCCCTAGTCTCTTTTCAACTCTTCCCACACCTAAAAAAGGCTCAACACCCAAAATGTTTTGTTTCTCCTTTCTATTTTTTCAGCATGGAACAACTTTATATGTTCTCCCTTACTTGAACTCTTCCTGTCTTGCTAGTTAAATGTTATTTCTGTCCAATATCACCTACTAGTTGACCATTCAATGACGATCACACACAGTTGGAATGACACTGTATGAGACTCAAAGAACATTTTTTGCTGTGTGGTGCTCCTCCTAACCCCACACGGCTGAATCACAGGATGTCTGAAACACAGAACGTGAAACCCAGAAGACGTCATTCGCAAAGGTTTGAGCAAACTGCAGCCTCTTCCAGAAGCACAGGGCACCAGAGATGACTGTTCTCCCCCTGGACAGGGTCTGGAATATCCAACACTGCCAGCATATCCTGGCAAATATTTAAATTGGAAGGAATCTAGAGCAACTAGAGAAAAAGTCTGCATGGAGAGAGGTAAAATGCAGACTCTACAGAGACTGAGGCCTGACGCCAGACCTACAGGAGGATGCAGGAGCTTTGAGGCTACCGAGTGGCAGCCTGCCCCTTTAAATGTTTAAGAGATTATTTTTTTGGGGGGGGCGGGCGGGGGGTTTAATTCAAAGGGTAGGTGAGGAGTCAAACAGCATCAGGGCATAACAAAGAGCAATCAGAATTTAAAACACAGAAGACACTTGTCTCATCTCAGGAATAGGCTGAAAAACCACTGCTGTAAGTCAGCACAGGGACACTTATTTGACATGCAGAGACTAACTATGAGATCTTTTTTTAATAAATCGGATACTGTAATTATTCATGTTTGTCAGGAGAGGCTCTGGCTCGCCCGCAAACCTGTATTGGATAAATAACATAGATGGCTGTAATTAGTAATCTAGAACCCAGTACTTCATGCCAGTAGTTTCAGTGCATTACAATAGTATGGTTAGCTCACTGTAGTCTTTTGTTTCTGTACAAGTTTTGGAGGCTTGAAAAACGCCCCCAGAAAAACTGCTTATTGTTCCCAGAACAGAGCTGGCAAAAACAGTAGTTTGAAATAATGAGCAATAGATACCAACAGCAATGCACAGATGTTTATGTAAATACACTATACTTTCACTTTCTGAAGAAAAATAAATTCATGAAATTCAAATCATGAAAAGCAATAGTTTAATAGTGTGGCTTAACACAATGATTTATTATTATTATTTATTATTGACTTCTAATGTTTAATAAAGTAGATACAATTTATAATCACTTTTTATTGTAAATCCAATAACTTCCACAAGGACCCATAATGTTTGTCTCAGCATCTATGTACTGTATAATGTTATTCTACCTTCTAAAGAACAAGATACAATAATTCTGTAGTTACGGTAAGTGATAAGAAGATTGATACTTATGTATATAGTCATCTGGTTTTATTACTCCATCTTACTGTTCAGGGCTCTTTTGCACATGTATGGTCTCTCATGACGACACAGGTGTGATCTCCATTTTCCATGTTCTTCGCCAGTCTCTTTAATAACAGCAGCACAGACTCCTGTTGCAATGTGGCTGTCCAAAAACAGATGTGCAGTGCTGTTATTTGAATCCGGACATCTACAAATTAACAGCAGTGCTACAAAGGCAATTCATGGTGCACTTATGAGCCAACATTTCCACACAAATCTGACCTTTGAATGAATGCATTTTCCACAAGGTCCTGTTTGCGGTTTTTAATCTGAACAAACCACATTGGAGAGGCTAGGCTTGTCAACGTAGTTTAAAATTGGCTGTCACTTGCAATCAAAAAGAAGATAATGTGTGTTTTGGAATCTGCATGTTGCACAGGGACATATTAATAATAAATGTTTCTGCCTGTTTAATTCAGATCCAGATAGAAGAGTTTTCGATTTCGAACATTTGATTCCAAAATGTTGGGGGAAAATCTTCATCAGAGGAGCAGGACACAGTCTTGTGCAGATTCAGTTTTATTGAGCTCAATAATGACAACAGCACACGCTGCAGAACAGACAAACTGCTCTTATATACAGTCAGAAAGAAGTTTGTCTTAATCTAAGTGCTTGTCCTGTTCTTTAACATGTAATTACTTCTTGTCCTGCTCTGTCCTGCTCTAGGTTCAGTCCTTTGATAAGCAGTAGACATTGATCTGCTTTATTCTGTTTATGGTATGTTTGTGGGTGTTGGTCCTGCCTTTTGTTATGTTAAAGCAAGTCAGCTTTATTGCATCTTAGCATAACTTTTGTCGAATTAACAGACCCCAGCAATACCTTCCACAATGTGATTAAGTGGTAATATTGCAATGCAGGATATGTGATATATTTACATGTCCCACTTCAAAACAAAAAACAAACAAACAAGGGGCAAATATTTACACATTTACAGTGTTTGGAACAGGCTACCCTGTGTATAAAGTGTACAGTAGCACTGCACTCCTTAGTCATGTGGAACTGAATCACTAAAAGAGTGAAGGTATGGTGTTCAGTCAGTGGCTTAAATTCTCAGCCATGTACAGTAAGCAAAAAAAGAATAAGGAAAAATAAATCCTGTCAAGGCCATATTGAGCGCTAATTATCTTGTCACTGTAAAGCTCTGAGGCTGAGAAAGAACTCTTGGTATCAGACATTTATGGATTTGTTCAATCTGGAATTCAAGGGGAGCAAACACCTATGATGGCACAATTTACAACAAATAACTTTCAGCTCCACTATTCCTCACTAATACAACATACGGGAGCCATAGATGACACAACTGTTACTCTTCCATGTCAAGAGATTTATTTTCGTCTTACACATCTTACCTTAAATCTGGCTGGTCTCGATCCCAGTTTGTATAAGCAAGGTTTGATCCATCCGACCAGCTGAACTGGGAATTGTTCGCCTGAACTTCACAGGATAATGAAGTACACCTCTGCGCAACACCAGTACACATTTTTATCACCCATAGGCTAGCAGCTTTGGAGATTTGACTTGAGATATTTAGAAAATGAACCCTCCATGCTTCACTTGTTTCTGGTAGATGTAATTCATAGACATAAATTTCAGCTTAGTATTTAAGTTCACACCCACTTTCTGCATTCACACATTCCAATGGCATAATTTCAAATATTTTACAATTCCAATACTTTAAGGTCAAGGTACAGTGTACACTGTGTATGGTCATCCCTATTTGATATTATGTATGGTGGAGGACAAATATCCTCCATGTATAGGCTAATGAGGAATGACACAAACCAATATCTCCTTTATCTCAGCATCGCTAACTAGTAGTCACCCCTCACATCACTTCCTGAAACCTATAAATTCCTCTTTCTCTTCTTTTCTATTTTTGCAACAGCTTGCTGAAGAAGCTCCTAATGCATCTTATTTTACGTGTCATCAAGTCAAATGGTCGTACTGGTAACATATTGCTAAAACACCATATAATGAACAATCACTGTTCAATTGCAAACACATCACTTCAGAATATTTTAATTACATCCCATCAAATGCTCTGGTGGCTGGCACCGGTTGATATACACATTAAAATACTATTTTTAGGACCAGTTTTTATTGGCATGCTTTTAACTGCAGACACTAAAAAGCTTTGGGAGAGTTTAGTGCAAAAGTCCAACCGAGAGAAGAATTTGTAGAAGTAAACATTGTAAGTATAAGACTTAATTTTTCCCCAGGACTGTAAATTTAATATAAAGTCGACACTGACGATGGAAGAGTGAATCCCTTACCAGGGTTGAAAGACCAATCCAGAGATCAAATTGAGAGGAATCCAACTGGCTAGTGACATAACGCTCTTCATCTTCTGACAGGATGGACACCAGATCTCCTCCTTCTCTCACACAGTCCAGCCTGGATGCCACCCAGGACTTCCTGGTTTCCGAATTCAGCTTGTAACAGCTGGACCCATAGAGCTGCCACCCATTTGCAGTGTCACATACAACAGGTGGGTTGGCTGTAAACAAGGAACAGACTGAATGTCTGAATCACAAACACTAAACTACACTAAAGTCCCAATTCCAGGTGAGCTCTCAGAAGCTTAAAATATGTTTTGCACAACGTAACAGGTTGTCCATATATTCAAATAATCTTTCCTATCTTGAAATTATTAAATAATGTACTATCCCATAATACTTTTCTCGTATGAGCATCTCAAAACCGTGTTTCGATGTAGTAGCAGGGCTGAATTTTGGTACACACACACACACTTTGGCGCTTAGCTGAGGGGAGGTGGATCCACTAGAGCAACCGGTGTGGGCGCTACTCTATTCTAATGCTAAACCACGTGATGGATGGATCGATACTTCTAGTGTCTAGAACAGCCGCTAGAGAGTGTGTGATTATTAACTTGGAGAACCTAGAGTCAATCGCAAGCATGTTGTTTCAGCTCGTTTTTCGTGAGTCACTAGTGTTTCCTTCCTTCATACAGTAGGTCCGGCACTGGTGCCGTGAGAGGATCTCGGTTTGGGAAGAGTCTGTTCCCGGCGGAGAGAGTGACGTACGGTTCGGTCTTTTACAGACGTAGCGACGC